AAGCTCGGCGGTTCTCGCTCGGTGTTGTCAGTTGTGTCGGTGTTGCTCTTTGTACTTGACCAAGGTAAGTTCAAAATAAACTTCTTTCTCTAAACACCTGTCTCGTGTTTCATTTGTCATGTACAGCACTACACTGTCACATGGGTCCGTTGAATGCATTTGTACGCAACGTGGTTTGACAATAAAGTAGTCTAACTAGTTGTCAAAAATGTACCTTCATTAGTCAACATTTGGTCAAGGTAGTAAAAAGTTAATCAAAGATGTCCTAAGACATAATGGTAATGTTATGGTTGTTACGTGACTGTATTTACTATTATTATTATGTATGTTTAAAACCAGCAGAATATACTATATATTTAACATGTCATGAACTTACTGTTATTCAAAAAATTGCTTAATAAAAATTTCCTAAGACAAGATTGGCTATTGTTTTGGTTTTATGTCAAACTACTGTAGGTTTTAAGTTACTACAGCAGATATAGGCTACCTATATCCTAATAATGGTACTAGTCAGAGTTATTTTAATGACCCAAATCGAGTAAAATGTCTCTTACTCTAGTACTTATTGCATGCAAAAGTCAAATTTACAGTTTTCAACAACAAAATTTTGTCTCGTAAAAATGACCAGTGGGGTGTGAGAAAAAAAGTGAATGTCAAGTTATATATTATATATAAAAGAAGTTGAACAAGTTGTCATAATATTCAGTCATAATGCATTTTTCTGTACATTTCCATTAGACGTTTTTTTTCTAAATCTATAATTGGTAAATTGCTCCCAGGTCAATCTGGACTTTGTCTAATGAAGGTGAGGCGTATCTGAAAGGAGATTGTCCTATGTTCACATTTTCACTTTTGTTTTGGGTTTTTTTTTTGGTCCTATGGAGTGCTGTCTTTTCCTTTCTGTATCACGATGACATGATCTGGCAACAAATCACAGTACAAACCGCAAAAAAATGAAATAAATTAGCCGTAGCTTACATGAGAACATCCATCCAGAGTACACTGTTACATTGACAACATGAGTAAGTAATTTGACTGTCTTATCCGTACACAATGACACAAGGACTTGTCATTCTGACGGCACTGACATGTTCATTGAGAGATGAACCAAGGACTTTAAGCAAGAGACTGGCTTTTGCAGGTAATCCATGCTGTTTGGCTATTTGTATGTGCTTTTTTGAGAAATGCACTTACTGCTTAGCAAATTTTAAATCTGACAAGTTTACCAAAGCGACTGAAAAAACTGTAATACAACACGAGTTAATGCAAAGATGAAAGGTCTGCAAAGACAAAAGTGTGTATTTTTATTTGCACATATCATTTTATAAAACTAGTTGTAGCGTATACATAATTCGGTTGTATATTTTTGGCTTAATATTTAATACGCGTTTTGATGTAACCATGTCTATAGTGGAATGGAATCTATAGTGGAATGGAACATCACAACCATGGTTTCTGCAGGTGTCAGTCACTATTTCAAATGTATGACTTTTTAAGTCTTCTCTTAAAACCATTGTGACCCCGACATTTCTCAGAGGTGGTTATAAATATACAAATGTTGCATGCACACATAACAATAGGCCTATATAAGCATGAGCATATTGCCAACACAAAAAGTGCAACAGTCTTAACAATCATGGGCTATAGTTTATATAATCATTTATTCATTTGTTTAATTCAATATTAATAACCCAACCTCAACGAGACCGGTGGACAGCATGTTTTCAGGACAAGTCTATTGGTTTAATTTCGGAGATCATCCTCAATGGTCAGTTGTGGCCTGTGTTTATTTTCAATTTGATTACCATAAAGGGGTCAGAAAGTTTAACCTGGTGCTATAAATTCAGTCTGGGTTGTTGATCTAACGTACAATCTAATCTAAGGGTGCTTTCACACCTGTGAATCGATTCAGTTGTTCCGAAACAGAGATTACAAATGTTACATTGTTGCTCTTGGAGCGGTTCGCTTTCACACTGCAAAGTTTCTAATCGGACCAAAAGAGCTAAAACAAGTCACGTGCGAGTAAACTCTCCTTACATTGGTCAGAGTGTCAGGGTTTATTTTGCAGCGTCCCGCTAAGCTGTCAGAAGAGGTGGTGGTTTAGTGGTGATTGACAGGGTAAGCGCGCGCGACATGTCTGAGGAGAGATGCAGTGGGAAGGGGTGAGAAGGGTGCGCGACGATGCGTATTTGAGGACCGGGAGGGAGACGTGAGATTACCGGGAGATCATCACTCATTTGCGGGCATCCAGAGACTTGCGAAACTTCCAGTCCTACTCATAATTCTCTCTTCATATAGCCGTATGCCTATTACATATCCATAAAACACTGTGATATAACCGCGCTTGGATCGGATAGCTTTCTCACTGCAATTGAACCGCTCCAGGGTTCATTTCAATCGAGCTGAGACCACCTCATTCAAGCGATCTCGGAGCGATTTCTTTGGCTTGGAACAGAGCGCGATTGCCCTGTTCACATATGCCAAACGAACCGCGCTAACTGGGCAAACGAGACAGTTTCCGAAACAAAAGTGTAGGTGTGAAAGCACCCATAGAGAAAATGTTGAAAGTCTCTAACGGGACCATTTTCAGTCCCAAGATCCCCCCTTACAACTCTAGAGCATCCTCCCAAACGCTCCATGCTTCCATATAATATGCTCCAATAAGCTTTGGATCACAGCCAAATAATCTTACGCGAAAACCCATCAATACAGCCATTTATACAAACGCCATATGGTTTCAGTTTATCGTATGAGTCCAAATGCCATATAAAGTTTGGTCCCTATAGCAAAGTAGTTGCGCCTCCTGAGCCGTCTTGCTCTCCTCATTGAAACACCTGCAAGGTCCAGTTCCTTCAGCACTAAGCGCACGTCTTCTTTTCTCACACGTAGACCATTTTCTCTACATTTCGTGTACATCCATCGGTACCCATGAAGTTGCCCAGAGAATTGCAGCTGATTTTGGATGAAATCAACAAGAACAGCTAAAGCTTCCGGCTAAACAGTCCTTTTTCACGCAATATCCTTTTCAAGTGTCTTTCACTTATATCAAAACCGGGCCTTGAATTAAGCATTGAGCATATCTCTTTATTCTTAAGCCCAAGTTCAAAATAAAGCTCTATGAAGCCGTCCATCGTAAACGCAAGGACCCTAAAATGAAGAAAGAGGAAGTGTTGTTTTGAACAGAAAGTGTTTATTTGCGAGATAACGCAAAACATCTTTGCGAGATAACACAAAACATCTTTGCGAGGGAACGCAAAACAACTTTGCGAGAGAACGCAAAAACTTAGAAATATATATTTTCCTCCCACCCATTTTTTTCTTTCACCCATTTTTTTTTTCATTCAGCCAATTTTTTTCTCCACCACTACCAGATTATCAGAACCAAGGACACCAATCAGACATGAAAAGGACATACTGCTATCAAGGTGAAAACATTCATTCATTCATTTTCTTTTCGGCTTAGTCCCTTTATTAATTAGGGATCACCAGAGTGGAATGAACCGCCAAATTTTCCAGCATATATATTTTTTTGTCAGATGCCCATCCAGCTGCAACTCATCACTGGGAAACACCCATACACTCTCATTTACACACTAAGGCCAGTTTAGTTTATTCAATTCACCTATCGTGCATGTCTTTAAACTGTGGGGGAAACCAGAGCACCTGTAGGAAATAGGAACATGGGGAGAACATGCAAACTCCACACAAGAATGCCAACTGACCCAGCTGGGACATGACTTTGCTGTGAGAAGACAGCGCTAACCATTGAGCCACCGTGTGGCCCCATGAAAGCAACACACACAACAAAAATAAATAATGTAATAATATTATTTTATTAGAAATGTACAAAACCAATATAAAGACAGCATATTGAATATAGTGTGCACAAGCTATTACGTACATCCAAAAGCGTCAGGCATATCCAAATGTTGCAGCAAAGAACATGATTCTTGCCACAGAAAATATCAATGTTTTCAATGTAAAGAATATTTTTACTGACAGGAATGTGTGATTGTAAAAAGAAAGGAATGATTAAAGGCACAGGTCACCAAAACATCTTAAGTTACTCTCCATTTTTCTATTCAACACAAAAAAAGATATTTTGAATAATGCTGGAAACAGGTGACCATTGACTTCCATAGTACACTCACTGTCATAAATGCTGCGTTCCACACAATCGATTTTGTGTTAGGGCAACATGAAAGTGTTAGCTTATTAGTTTTTACAATTTTACGTGGAGGAAACATAAAAAGTTAAGTTGCCCTCCTAAAACTCAAGAATTGCATTTTCTTTCAGCTCATTTTAAATAAGTAGCATGGACAACCAGCTAAAGTCCCTTTTTTGCCGCTGCAAAATAGGTTGTTTTAAATTGAGTTGAATAAAATGAACTTTTCAACACTGTAAACAATGAAATAAGTGAGTAAACCTGTTGATTTAAAAATAATTAGTTGACATTACTTTAAAAACGTTGACTTAAAATGTTTAAGTAAATGAACTATGTGCGTAATTAAAAAAATTAAGTTAGTTGAACTTATCAATTATAAGTCGAAACTGGTTTACTCACTTTTTAAGTGAAGTCAACTTGTCGCTTTTAAAGCAATGGGTTTACTCACTTTTCTAAGTAAAGTAAATAATCCTTTTTTTACAGTGTCGTCATTTCAACTTACATCAGTCAGACTGACTAAAAATATTAAGTTAAGCTTTGCATGACTTAAAAAATGAGTTGAAACCTGATTCACTTATTCATTCATTTTCCTTCGGCTTAGTCCCTTTATTCATAAGAGGTCACCACAGAGGAACGAACCGCTAACTATTACAGCATATGTTTTGCGCAGCGAATACCTTTCCAGCTGCAACCCATCACTGAGAAACACCCATACACTCTCACATTTACTCATACACTACGACTAATTTAGCTTATTCAATTCACCATAAGCACATGTCTTTGAACTGTGGGGTGAAACCAGAACACCTGGAGGAAACCCATGCCAACATGGGGAGAATATGCAAACCCCACACAGAAATGCCAACTGACCCAGCCTGGACTCAAATCAGTGACCTTCTTGCTGTAAGGCGACAGTGCTAACCACTGAGCCACTGTGTCACAACTTGATTAACGTATTAAGATAAGTTAAAGGAACATAGAAACATTTGCTGTCATGACTTTGTGTGTAGGGAAACAAAATGGAGGTCAATGTCTACCGGTTTACAACATTATTAAAATAACGTCTTTTGTGTTCAGAAAACAAATCAGGTGACTCAATAATGACAGGATTTTAATATTCGATTAAGCTTCATTCAGTGACTTGAAGGGTCCTCTGTTTGCTACATTTGGCCTCGTTTTCAACGGCGCGCTCCACACGTGGGTAAAACGGTCCGACCAGCCAGTTGAGAGGAGTGTTGTTGAGCAGGTAGTCCATCACGTTGTCCATGGACTCTGTGATTCTGCTGAGCTGTGAGCGGCTGGAGGACAGGACGGTGCTGGACAGATCCCCCAGCACGGCCGCTTTACTGAAGCTGCTGTAGATCTCCAATGCGGAGCGGCTGACGGAGCCCACCTGGAGCTGGACGTGCTGAGGGAGACCCCTGAGACTGGACACCAGCACCACACATGTGCTCTGAAGCTGCTGGCTGAGGCTGTGGGCGATGGTCAGTGTGCGCGACTCAATTTGCTGAGAGGAAAAAACGAAGAAACATATTTGACTGATTCATTCGAGTGATAGATTCACTACTGTAGAAATTATTAAGGGGATAGATTATGCAAAAAATTATATTTAGGATCTGGGTCGAACCAGCCTCTCCCTCTGTCATGTTCACCAGTGATCCAGCCTGTGCAGATCGTTGGTAAACACACAGTTCGCTACAAATCTACCAGCAAAAGAACTACAAGATCCAGTCACGCACCACTTGCACACCTGGCCTAGGTCCTGTCTGATTGCAAACACTCACAGCTGAAGCTGCTCATGAATTGATTACATGTCCTATAAGGAGAGCCCTCACACACACATCTGGGCTGGGTCTTGTTATACTGAAGTGTAAACATTATGACGGGTTTTCCTTGCCTTGTCTTGCTGTGTTTTTGACCCTCGCCTTGTTTGTTCATTTACGTTGCTTGCTGCTTGCCTGTACTGACCATCTGCCTGTTATTATGACTCTGGATTTCCTGTGTACATCTGTTTGCCCCTGTGTTGACCATTGCTTGCGTGACCATCCTGCTAATAAACCCTGTGTTTGGATCTGAACTCCGTTGTCTGTACCCCGCTTCACATTACACGCTGGTAAACAAGGCTTTTAGCTGGTTATGTGGAAATTCAAAACTGACCCAAAACAAACCATTAGGTCGGCAATGAAAATTCGCTTGAGTGCTTCGACTGGCATTCTAAGAGCCGTGGAAGTTTTAAAATAAGAAACAATTTAAAAAAATTATAAAATATCTTTAATCACTGACTTTTAAGTAGTTTTAAACATTTGTGAGTTTTCTTTTTTGATTGATTGACTCATTTTCTTTTTAACTTAGTCCCTTTATTAATCAGGGGTCACCACAGCGGAATGAACCATCAACCGATCTGGTATATGTTTTACATAGCGGATGCCCTTACAGCTGCAACCCATCACTGGGAAACATCCTTATTTGGTTAAACAAAAAATATGTATATTATGAAAAAAGGTAAAAATGTGAAGACATCGACTTCAATGGTAAGAAAAACAAATACTATAGAAGTCATTGGTTACAGGTTTTCAGCATTTTTCAAAATATCTTCTTTTCTGTTCGACAAAAGATGAAACAAGTAAAAGTTGAGAAATTGATGACCGATATTTCCTTTTTGAGTGACCTACCCCTTTCAAATTAAAGATGGGTGTACACTATTGTACAGAACAGTCACAAACATATTTTTATTTGACAGCAGCTCATCAAAATTAAGACGGATTCTAAAATGAGGGAAAGTAACTGTAAAATAAATAGATTTTATTTGACAATAGTGTATATTACGAGTTACTTTACATTTTATTTACGTTTTAAATTATTTATAGTAATAATAATAAGACCAAAATCAGTATAATCTTTTGTAATATTTAATGTGTCAACAACAGTGTGAATTTGCGCATTATATTACCTTTATTACATATAATATTTATAAATATTATGATTATAGTAAATCTTTTCTAAAATTTTAATCCCAAAAATGGATATTGTGATTTAAAATGTCTTTGGAGTAACAATTGTTTTTAATTCCAAAACAGTTTACTTTTTTTTTTTTTTCAAACTCTACATTTTTTTTTTCAAATCTCTCAAACTACGTTCTTCTATTTTTGATATTATTATTATGCTTAAAACTCATTATTATAACCAGAAAGCTACACCTATTAACTGAAATCATGTTACAAAATCAGTTTTAAAAAATTATTTAAAGAGCCCATATTATGGGTTTTTGAAAATTCCCCTCCATGTAGTGTGTAACACAGCTCTAAGTGTAGTGAAGTATTCAGCTAAGGCTTAAATCTGTAAGAATACAGTGTTTAAAACGGTTGATTCATCTATAAAAGAGTCGACTCATAGTGCTTCAAACGAGTCGCCTTGATACCGACTCATTAGGTGTTTTGCCATGACGTACGAACGAAACCAAGTTTTTCACGTGCACGCGCAAACCCGGGAGATTTCAAACCTGAGGCCCCGCCCTCTGACGCAGAAACCCAGACACACACACACACACACCCACAAACACATACACACAAACATGCCGGTCGATTGAAGTCACACTGCAGATGGATATTATATCGAGTCTCTACCCAAAGATGAAACATCAGCATTATAACCAAGCAGTTGGAAACTTCTGGAAGCTACATGCTACAAAGAATACTTCATCTGAGTTTGTTAAAGGAAGGATCAGTAAAGAGTAACTGATTGACGTCAGGATGGGTTTCTTCCTACCTTTCTCAAGTGTAAGTACGTGCGGTTAAAGTTGTTGCCTCGTTGACTCTAGCTTGCAAATGTATTTAGTTGTGATTTGTTACTTGTAACCGCGTGTACTGTATCAGGTTAACTGGATATATTCTCTCATCGCGTGCAAAGTCACGTTAAAAACGCGACGCGTGCTGCTTTGTTGACGGAGCTCCGTGGTAGAGTTCTGCATTCCCGCGGCTGTCCCCGCGCCAGATTTCTGCGGCGCGGGAATAAATTTCCGAATAAATCGCGGGAGCGGTCGGTAACAGGTTTAATTTGGGACGGGAGCGGGCTGTCTAGCAATATCACGGATATTGCTATGCGAATGAGAAAGAGAGAGTCTGCTTGTGTGTGTGTGTTAGTGCGCACGCGCGCGTATGAGAGAGAGAGCGAGAGCGAGCTTTTTGTGTTTTTATACAGACATCTTGGCTGTCTGGACTGTATAGCTGGGTGACTTTTGGTTGTGTTCTCCTCCGCTCTAGCGGGATCGGGCGCGGCGGGCAGAAAACGGAGCGGGTTCTCAGGCTAAAACCTGGCGGGTGTGGGCGGAAGCGGGAGCGTTGTCGTCCGGAGGTGTGTGTGTGTTTTTGTGTGTGTGTGGCAGCTAAAATCCACGCCTACACTATGGAGCGTGTATGAACTGTGATTACTTTTTAAATTGCTGATTAGCTATCGGCCATTTCATTCTCTGACTGAAGGCAGTCGACCAATCGCGACAGACTGTCATCGGTCCAATCAGCGCAGATTAGCTCCGCGCTAAGGAGGGGTTTGGGAACAAATGAATCACTGGACGATTCATACAGGAGTCGCTGGGATAATTAGGTAAAAATAAATGCAGATTATAAGACCATGAAAGTGTTTTTTGACCTTGCATGCATATTAGACTGTTGTTGGAGACCCTTACAACCAAGATATGACCCTATTTCATGTATAATATGGGCTCTTTAATGTACCCTATGGGACATTCTACCAGAAACAAACATTATCTGTCCTCGAAATAAAAGTATAAATACAGTGAATAAAAAGTATTTCGTGCTAGAAAATGTCTAAAATGGACTGAAGGTTAATTTCTGTGAGCTGATTTGTAAAGGAATATGTCATTTATCTGATTCTCAGATTTTTTTTTATTTTTATAAAAACACTTAACAAATGTACAAACTCTGTTCTTATCCTCAGTCCAATTAAACCCACATCTTTAATAGTTTTGTTATGCTAAAAACTGTTATTTAAAGAAAAAAATACATCAGAAATAGCAAGTTTAAGTAGTTATCATTTACATCAATTGATTAAAAAAATTTAATTATAAATAAATTCTACAAATGAAAGACTATTTTACAACTGTCTCTATGTGTTTGGTCACTCCTGTCACATTTGCATTAAATTCAACATAAAAAGCATGCAATAAACCTTTAAGGCTATATGACAGTAGAAGCTGACAGTGATCAAGGATGCGTTCTATCTTTAAATTGTATGATTTTATGCTTGTTTTTGTATGATTTTTTTCAGAGGACAAGCTTAAATTAGGCCCTGTCACATTTTCTATTAGGGAAAATTTACTTTTCTGGTAGAATCTCCCATATAACAGTGGTTCTCAACCATGTTTCTGAAGGACCACCTGCTCTACACATTTACCGTCTCTTCTTAAACAAACACACCAGAATCAGATCATCAGCTCATAAGCAGAGACTGAAAGAGCTGTAATGGCTGTGACAGACAAATGAGACATTCAAAACATGAAACATGGTGGTCCTCCAGGAACGTGGTCGAGAAACACTTCCCTATATTTTATTTCTTTGCTTTTTTCTCATTAAATTAGTTTTATTTCTATTAAAATTAAAACGCAGGAAACCAATAATGTAATTACTTTAAGTTTTAATTATTAATCTTTTTTTTTCGCTTTAGAATTTCATCAGCAGTTTTAATATATTTCTGTCACAATAATGTATACCAAGTTAAAGCCTTCTCTGTGTACATTAAAAGACAAAAATGTCTCAAGTGAAAAGCAATAAATCATCATCAATTTGCTGAATATATTGCTAAAAAGTATTAATATCTCTGATACCTCAGCTTCACTGTCTGTTTCGCTCTCTGTTTCTTGGCTTTGAGAAACGCTCTTCCAGCCCATTAGTGAACCCAGTTTCTCCTGCAGCTTCTGGTTAGACCCATCAATATTCTTCCTGGTAAATTCGATCTAAAAACAAAAGCAATAAAATGACTTGCTAGAAATTTGATTACATTACTGTATACCTCTGTGAGTTCATCTAAAGATCAACCTACTATATCCATTGTGTGGTTAAGCTGTGAAATGGACTCCTGTCCGCGCTGCACGGCATGACGAACTTTCTCCACGGCTCTCTGATAAGTCCTGTCTCTGACTTTAATGGACAGAGAGCCCAGTCGGACATAATAATTGGCCAAATCGCTGTCATTTTCCAATCCTTCAGTATTCCTCTCTTCACCTTCTGAGAGAGAAACGGGACAAAGGAACATTTGTTGAGATTGGTTAGATCTCCATTTGCGAGATTAGTGAGGCTCAGGAAATGAGAGTAATTTCAGATTTCTGGTCAACAATCTCTTTGAGACGTGAACAAGTCGGATGTTCTGCACATAAATGGGATTAATTTTCTTTTTCCAGGGACATGAAGTAATTCCCAGCACTATTTGACACACATAACAGAGCATATAGTATGGATGCTCTTGTTAATTAGTTAGAAAGCCATGTCTCCTGAGAAGCATATCACAAGACTATCACAAGACACGAACCTGAAATGTACATATGCAGTTCATGGAGTGCAAGAGGTATTTATGGATGATTTATTATTATTTTTTAATTGTGTTGAAATTTAGTCAATCTTTAAAAAAAATTGAAACAAATTTCCATATACTGAAAGTCATTCATCAAGATATATTTTTCAAAACATAGAAACATGTCATTGTGTTGGCAGAGATGTAGCTTTTGGGGGGGGGGGGGGGGTCAGCTATTTATTTATATTCCTTCAGATAAGTCCCTTTATTCATCAGGGGTCACCACAGCGGAATGAACCGCCAACTTATCCAGCATGTGTTTTACGCAGCGGATGCCCTTTCAGCTGCAACCCATCACTGGGAACTCACACACTCATTCGCACACATACATACACTACGGGCAATTTAGCCAACCCAATTCACCTGTACCACATGTCTTTGGACTATGGGGGAAACCGGAGCACACGGAGGAAACCCACGCGAACGCAGGCAGAAATTCTTATTACATGTTTTATCCCTTTGTCATATGTAACTGTTTTTGTATGTGTGTGATGATGTGTTTTTTTATTTTAGGTTGCCTTTTAAAATCTGGCAGGGGGCAACAGATGAAAATTAGCCCTTGTGGTTGACTCTGGCTTATTTACAGTTTTACTGTTTATTAATGAGCATTGTCCCTGTTAAATTCAATAAAAAAATAAAAAATAAAAAAAAAAACATGCAAACTCAACAATTGCAATAATTGTGTAATGATTTTAAGCTTTAATAATTCAGAATTTGTAATAAATAATAATTAGTACTTTAGTAATATTTATTTAAAAAAAATTATTTTCAAAATTTTAACTTACTGTACAATTGTAATATATAAAATAAACAAATGAGGCTATTTAAACTTACAGTAGTGCATTCTAAATGAATAATTCACCCAAAAATGACGATTCATTCATAATAAAAAGGGTTTCTTTGTTGTTTTGAACACAAAAGACGATATTTTGAAAAAATCTGAAACCTTTTACTATTGACTTCAATAGTAGGAAAAACAATGGCTACAGGTTTCCAACATTCTTCAAAATTACTACTTTTGTGTTCAACCAATTCAAAAAGATTTGCAACAAGTAAAAGCTGAGTAAATGATGATAGAATTGTCCTTTTTAGGTGAACTATCCATTTAAACTGCCTTTTTATGCAGTATTTAAGGTTTCAAAATTAGTTTTGAAGGTCTCATGTGATTACATCCATCTGAGGTCAAGATTTTACATGCAACTTATTTAACAAAACATAACTGTGTGCTCCTACTCCATTCACTTAGTAGTGACCAGTGCATAGCACAAACCGCGTGGGCGCACCCGCAAGAGGAGGGGAAGGAAATTTGTATCAAAATCCGACTCCCTGGACAAATCTGACTCCCCTTCGCATGCATCACTCAGCGCCTCCAGTTAAACTCACTGCGGTTTATTGTGACATTTTTATTGAGAATTTTTTTCTGAAATTGACAGCAAGAATGATCATAGAAATATTGTTTAATTGACAAGCAGCACCAATGTTCAAAAGAATTTAAAACGCCAAATAAGACAAATTTATACCCCATTTCGAAAGTTAAACATACTCTAATAGGTAGTGTAATCTACACAACATTAAATGCAGTGTGTGGGCAAGAGGGGGCTGTGTTTTGACGTGATCCAGTTATGTTGTAGTTCTGTGACTGCTGGTTTTAACTGCAAGTTGGTTAAAAGTTATAACAATTAAAGTAACTAAGTTAAATAAAATTAAATAAAATATTTTCCCAGAGATAGGTTGCGGCTGGAAAGGCATCCACTTTGTAAAAAACGTGCAGGATAAGTTGGTGGTTCATTTCGCTGTGGCAACCCTGGATTAATAAAGGGATTAAGCCGCAAAGAAAATGAATAAATGAATGAGTAAATAAAATATTAATCTAATATTTTGGGTGGTTTTTTTTTTGCGTTTGGGTGGGTTTTGAACAGCTTTTGGGCTGAAAAAAGTCAGCTATATCTGACAACACTGCTGCTTTCTAACAACCTGCTTTGCTTTGCTTTGATTTGATTTGTTCAGGTTTCCCAGCCTGCTCTGACTTTTCTACTGCTTACAGCATGTCAGAAAGAAAACGCCAACACTCAAAAAATGATGTTTGCTATTTGTTAAAAACTACTTATTTAAAATGAGCTCAAACACTACAACTTTTAGGTTTAATCCACTTAAATTTGTAAAAACTAATAAATTAATTCCTTCATGTTGTCCCACCACAAATCAGTTGTGTGGAACCAAGCATTTTTTGCAGTGTATTTACTTTAAACACATAAACTTAAACAGTAAACAGCAAATTAAGCCAAAAACTAAACTAAACAATAAACCAAAGTCTTCTAGGTTTCGGCTACAGTGTTTGTGAGTCAAAGTATAAAGTTTTTGCATTGAAAGCAGCCACACATCAGATAGAACACAGTAAACTGATATGAAACTAATAGTAAATGAGGTGCTCACCTTTTTCCTCCTCATTTTCAGGCAAGTAGTGCTCCAGCAGCGTCTCAGATGTGCTCAGTGCATTGTCCACTCTGCTGGACACCAGTTTGAGCATCCTGCTGTCCATCACTGTCTGGACTCCACCGCTGACCACAGTCTTGGTCTTCTCCACGCTGCCCTGCACTGCCCCGCGTGTTCGGTCCATCACATCATTTAGGGTGAAGGAGACAGAATCCTTGGCACCGCTCACAGTCCCGCTGACAGCCTCCTTGGCTCCTGTCACTGCATCTTTAGCATTGGCCATAATCTGAAAGAGAAGAACAAACATAAGACTCTTAACAGAACTAGATTCTCCTGAAGAAATCATTATAAATGGCTACTTTATCTATAGAAGCTGTATTTTTATATACACACAGTTCAAGTCAGAATTATTAGCCCCCCTATTCATTTTGTTTTCTTTTTTAAATATTTCCAAAATTATGCTTAACAGAGCAGGGAAAGTTTCACAGTATGTCTGATAATATGTATTATTAGTCTTTTTAGTCTTATTTGTTTTATTTTAGCTAGAATAAAAGCACTTTTTAATTTTGTAAAACCCATTTTAAGGTTAAAATTTTTAGCCTCTTTCAGTTTTTTTTTCTGATAGTCTACAGAACAAACCATCATTACACAATAACTTGCCTAATTACTCTAACCTGCCTAGTTATCCTAATTAACCTAGTGAAGCCTTTAAATGTCACTTTAAGTTGTATAGAAGTGTCTTGAAAAATATCTAGTCAAATATTATTTACTAACATCATGGCAAAGATAAAATAAATCAGTTATTAGAAATGAGTTAATAAAACTATTATGTGTTAAACAGAAATTGGTGGGAAAAATAAACAAGGGGGCTAATAATATTAACTTTCACTGTATATATTCCACATTTTTTCTCATTCATTCATTAATTTTACTTCGACTTAGTCCCTTGTTTATCAGGGGTAGCCACAGTGGAATGAACCGCCAACTATTCGGGCATAGATTTCATGCAGTGGATGCCCTTCCAACTACAATAATTTTTTTCTATAGATTTTTATTTATATATTTATAGTATATATACGTTTTAAGACAGCATAGCATGAATCAATCATTTATGTTATTCATTGTGGTTCAAGTGAATGAGCGGAGCTAAAGATAAAGATTTTTTGTTCAGTTTGCTCAATTTCACTTTCTGATTGGTGGATTTTAAAAAAATAATTGTATTGTGTACTTTTTTTTTAACTTAAATTCAGCTGTTAAACACGATTATTAAAAAGGTAAAAATATATATATTTAAATGAATAATGGCTTTGGCAACTTTATTAACAGGTCTGTCTTAAAATATTTAATTGGTTATTGATAAATTTCAGCTTCCTAATTGAGAAAATTTATGGTTTTAAAACTTGATTATTACACTGTGGTTTGAGTGTAATAATGTTTGTAATGTTTGTCATCATTTTTGGTTTAATTTGCTCTATTACTCTCAGATTGGCTGATTTTTTTTTTTTTTTTTTTTTTTTTTATTGTATGCCCATATTCACAAAACATTAACATCAAAATGTTGTAGCATAAAGAGAATGTACAGTCTTGAGAGTGAAAGTAAAAGAGAAATTAATGTAAAAAATAAAAAAATAAAATATATAGGTGAAAAATAATTAAAAGTACAATTACATCATCTTAGAGTAGGTTATAACAAAAAATGTAAATGAATGTCAAGGATGTTGTGTTAATTTAAGAGAGCTCTTTTATGTACTCCCAAAGGGGAGACCAAATTGACCAAAATCTATCAGATTTTTTATGTTTGTCATAGGTAAGTTTTTCTAATGGTAGCCATGTAGCAATCTGTGATATCCACATTTTAAAAGATGGAGCTTGTGATGCAGACCAGAGTAGCAAAATACATTTTTTAGCTAAATATACCAATACAATAAATAACTGGAATGCATCTTTTTCAAACAGATTATTTGCATTAAGATTCAATAAGTACAAAGCTGGGGTCATGTCAAAATTTAGCTTAAGAATATTTTCCAGTACTTTATGTATTTTCTTCCAAAATGGCAAAATTTTGCCACAGTCCCAAAAACTATGAATGAATGTACCTTTATCTTTTTTACATTTGAAACACAGGTCTGTGGCATTGGCAAACATTTTCTTAATACGTATTGGAGTTAAGTAGATCCTGTTAAAAAATTTAAAATTAAGCTCATGGATCCCAAGAGATGTACACTTCGGGTATATATTATCACATACAATTTCCCAGTCATTTTCTTCAATAGTTTGACCAATATCCTTCTCCCAAACATCTTTAAGTCCTAACCAGGCAGAAGTGCAATTGTTAGACAAAGTGTCATAAATCCTTGTTATCAATCCTTTTAAACAAGCTGAATTCAGTAAAAGGTATTCGATCTCTGTTGTTTTGGATCTGAGCTCTCCTTTGTCCAACTTTGGTTTTAAAAAATGTCGTAATTGTAGATATTTATAAAAATTGGATTTTGGAACGTTATATTGATCTACAATCTGTTGGAAAGATTTTATGGTGCCTTCTGAAAGTAAGCAAGATATTTGAGAGATGCCCAGTTCCCGCCATGCTGAAAAAACAGTGTTTTGCAATGTTAAAGGCATATCAGGATTAAAAGAAAGTGGGGAGAACAGGGAGAAAGGGCTGGAGATTCCCATATGTGTCTTTACATCTTTCCAAGTTCTAAGAGTATTTGATATGATAAAATGTTCAGAAATCTTTTTTAGTTTTATATAATTCTTAACAAATGGTAAATATTTAATTGGTAAAGGGGAGCAAGCTGTTTCTTCCATTTTAAACCAACTAGAGTTAGTCCTCTCATTACACCAGCTAATCATGTTTTTTATTTGGGCAGCCCAATAATACAACTGGAGATTTGGTAAGCCTATTCCACCCCTGTCTTTAGGCTTCATTAATTTAGAAATTTTAATACGCGGTCTTTTATTGTTCCAGATAAACTTTGAGATGTTTTTATTAAGATCTTTGAAAAATGAATTTGCTAAGTAGCTAGGTATGGACTGGAATAAATATAAGAATTTAGGAAGTACATTCATTTTTATTACATTTATTCTTCCTAGAAATGAGATTGGGAGTGAACACCATGCTTTCAGATTAGGTTTGAGTTTTTCTATAAGAGGTGTATAATTATGTTTAATAAGATCTTTAAGTGAAGATGTGACATGGATTCCTAGATATCTAAAGCCAGTTTCTGATAATTTGAATGGGGAGATTAATTTTAAATGTTCCAAAGAAGGGGTGTTTAAGGGTAAAGCTATGGATTTGGAAAGATTTATTCTGTAACCAGATAAACTACTGTAGTGTGAGATGCATTCCAGCAATGTTGGAATAGACTGCTCTGGTTTAGACATAAATATGAGCACATCATCTGCATAAAGTGAGGTACGATGATCTTCCCCTCCTATTAAAATACCGTGGAAATTTCTGTTTTGTCTGATGAGTTCTGCTAGGGGTTCGATTACTAAAGCAAAAAGCAAAGGTGAAAGAGGACAGCCCTGCCTCGTCCCTCTTCCTATGCGAAATGGAGTCGAAGTGAGACCATTTGTAACTACTGTTGCTTTAGGATCAGAGTAAAGCAACTGGATCCACTTAATAAAATTATTTCCCAGATTAAATTTATTAAGAGTCGCAAATAAGAAGTCCCACTCGACTCTGTCAAAAGCTTTATCGGCGTCAAGGGAGAGAACAAGTGCTGGGTGTCCCTCACCTTGGACAAAATTAATAACATTTAAGAGTCTGCGTATATTATCTGTTCCATAACGTGATTTTATGAAGCCTGTTTGGTCTGGCTTTATTAACTTGGGGAGCATACTCTCTAATCTACATGCCAAAACCTTTGCTAGTATTTTAGAATCTGTATTAAGTAGACTAATTGGCCTATATGATGCACAATCTTGGGGATCTTTATCTTTCTTAATTATTACACAGATGTTTGCTGTTTTCCAAGTTTCAGGAATCGTGCCTTGATCTAAGATATTTTGTAATGCTGGAACTAAAATGTTAGAAAGTTCGGGCCAGAATGATTTATAAAATTCTGAGGGGAAACCGTCAGGTCCTGGCGATTTGTTGGATGACATTGATTGTATCGCAGCTAGGACCTCTTCTGGAGTTATAGGCGAATTAAGATAATCTCTATCTTTATCTGAAATAATTGGAAGAGAAATATTATTGAAAAAAGTTTGAATTTGTAGTTGTGAAGCACTGCCTTGTGAGCTATAGAGTGATTCATAGTAGGATCGGAATGTATTATTTATAATGGCAGAGTCATATGTAGAGGTACCATTTGACATCTTTAGGGACTTGATTGTTCGTTCTGATTGTTCCTTTTTAATCTGATATGCTAACAATCGGCCAGGTTTGTTTGCATTCTCATAATAATTCTGTTTGGAAAGAAAAATTTGTTTTTTTATATGATTAGTGTGATCAAGGTTAAGTTTAGCCCTAGCATGACATAAAGTAGACCAGTTTGATTGAGTGGGGTTACTGCTATGTAGATGTTCAAGTCTTTTGACCTCTTTTTCCAAATCTTGTCGTTTAGCTATGAGAGCTTTCTTATGCGCAGCAGTATAAGAAATAATATATCCCCGAATTGTGGCCTTGGCTGCATCCCACATTATTGTGGGAGAGACAGGTGAATTTTTATTATCTGACCAATAATTCTGTATTGATTCCCGTACAATATTACAAAATTTGGGGTCCGATAACAAAGAAGAGTTTAATTTCCAGGTCTTGTTATTTGTTTTGGGGATTTCTAATTTAATATCTAATTGAACTGGAGCGTGATCTGAAATGGTAATTGAACCGATTTGACTAAAAGATGCAAGATTAAAATAGGTGTTTGGAATAAAAATATAATCAATTCTTGAGTATGAACAATGTGGGTTAGAATAAAATGTATAGTCTCTAGTAGTAGGGTTTAATTCTCTCCAACTATCAATTAGGCCAATTTCTTTACATAATTTTTTAAGTACCAAAGAAGATTTAGGATTAACTATAGTTCCTGATGAAGATCTGTCTAGTCTTTCATCTATCACACAATTAAAATCTCCAGCACAGATCCCCAGTCCTGTGCAGTGTTCATTAAATAACAAAATGATTTTAGACATAAATTTGGGAGAATCTTCATTTGGCGCATAGACATTCATCATTGTGATGTGCTGCCCATGCAAAAGGCCAGTGACCAAAATGAATCTACCCTCAGGATCTCTAATTTGGTTTTTCAAAATAAATGGCAAGTGTTTATTAATTAAAATAGTTGTACCTCTTTTCCTGGGATTATTTATGCATGAAGAATAATACACTTGACCCACCCAATCTCGTTTCAATTTTAAATGTTCACTATCCGATAGGTGTGTTTCCTGAAGCATAGCCACTTTAACTTTTTCCTTTTTTAAAAAAGTTAAAACTTTTTTCCTTTTAATCACATGTCCTAATCCTTTGACATTCCATGTTATAAATTTAGTCGAACTCTCCATTACCACAATGTGTAAAAGAAAATAAAAAGTAGACTGTAGTTTTCTTCATGAAAATAATACAATAACAGTATATGATGGGCAAATTTTTAACCTTAAAGAACAGCAAAAAACGACAAAACAACTCCCTCTCCCCCACCCCAGGCTCTGTCCCCAAATGACAGTGCCATCTAAATCCCCCTAAACCTAGGTCTCTGTACCTCACTGGGCTCAGGCAAAGAAAAATTATACCTGCTACCAACATAAGGTTCAGGATCATATTTGAGAGACACTTGCCTCACATTAATCCGCTCCAATAAAACAAATATAATCTCGGACTACCCATACAGCGAGAAGAGAAAAAAAAAGTTGAAAAAAAAATGAAACATTTGTTTTCATTGAAACAAAAATGACAGGAAAAAATGATTAGTCTGTTATATGAATTAACAGTCACATCTGTCATTCAAAATAGAAATGGCGTATGAGAATCCGGATGAAATAAAGTCACTACTCCTCCAAATATAACTCAGATGAAAGAATAATTAAGAATTCCGTCTCCCTCACTTATCTTGCAAAGTCTCAATGAACTCCTCCACCGCGGCCGGAGTGTTAAACGTACGAAGTTCCGAGCCGAAAAGACAGCGCAGCTTGGCCGGGTACGCAAATCCACGGAACATTTTGCGATCTATCAGAATCTTCCTCACAGTATCGAATTCTTTTCTTTTCCTCATCACCTCCACCGATAGATCTTGAAAGAAGCGCACCTGTTTGCCTTCGTGAGTAATATACCTTTTTTTCAGCGCTGCTTGTATAATGCGCTCTTTATCCGCGTAGCGTAGAAATCTGACAAGTACGCTTCGTGGTGGGTCACTGCCTCCTGGAACAGGTCCAAGTGATCGGTGCGCTCTCTCAATCTCCAGCCTGGGATCAAAAGAAAGGTCGAGCCATTTTGGTATCATTTCCATCAGGAATTGAGCTAGCGGGGTAGAGCCCTCCGCTTTCTCGGGTAAACCGACGACTCGCAGATTTTTACGTCTTCCTCGGTTTTCTAAGTCGTCCACTTTAGCTTGAAGTCGAGTCACTGTTTTCGTCAAAGTAGATAGTTCCCTTTCGCGGGTCTGCAGAGCGTCTTCTGTGGTAGAGATCCTATTTTCGGTTTCCGTAACACGAGAGTCAATTGAAGACACTCTTTGTGACAAATTAGATAAAGTTTCGTGAACGACAGATACCGAATTCGATATAGCATCGAGACGACTTTCAATAGTGTCGAAACGTCCATCTATATTCCCCAATTGGGTACTTAGTGATCGTATTTCATTCAAAACTGGGTCCGTTTGCTCTACCGAGGTCGAGGCCGAGGCCGAGGTTGTTTCTGCTGACGTATTTTGTTTCTTCTTTTTCTGCGATCGCGAAGAAGAGAAAAGTGGAAAATCCTGGGTCTCGGGCATGTTCTTTGGAAGTTTAATTATGGAATTCTCTTACTCAGATTGAGGAGGGTAGCGATTTATTAAGTAATAAGGAGCGGAGCTACAGTTTAGGCTGCCATCTTCTCCAGCGTCCGCGAGCGCCCCCCCTGATTGGCTGATTTTTAAAAGTTATTGTGTCATGTACTTTTTTTTTTTACCTCAGATTTAGCTGTTAAACAAACTTATTTTTTAAACAACAAGGTTAAAACAGGTTTAAAAAAGTGAAAACTGATAGTTTTGACAAAATGATATGCCATTTATTAAAAGGTCTGTCTTTTCTAACTGAGAAAATTATTTAACTAAAACTTAATTATTGCACTGTATAGAACACAAAAACAAGCCAGTTAATAGTCAATGTGCCAATTTCCAATCCATTGCTTTAGTTTAATGATCTTTTTTTTTTTTACTTTAACTAAAAGGTTTGCAATGTTGTGATGCACATCAAATCTGGTTGGTTGTATTAATGCTTTATAACATCTGATAAATTCTTATAGAAGAAAAATGCCGCTGGAAAAATGTCCGGTTACTCATCCTCTTTATTACTGTGATGTCATGTGAAAGACAGTTTGTCCCCATGCCAGTAAACACGAAAAGAGCTGAACAGATGTTATATTGCATGACAAAAGTGAAAGTGATCATTATTTTTGATAAACGAATAGGAGCACACTTTCATTTTGAGAACTATCATTAATAATAATAATAAAAAACAAAATAAAAACTATTAACTTTATTCCCATGATGACTATTTACCTGTTCAGATGGCTTGTGTAGGATGGGCAGAGTCTTTTCTATCTTATCCAGTCCTTTGCACGCCAGGTCATTTGCCATAGAGACTACAAAAAAATACAAAAAAAAAATCTTGGTCAAAAGCAGTCACACTGTAATCTGCCCTGATCTCACCCTGCAAACAACAATAGACTTACTCTGAGGCTCCAGTTTGCCAATGATTGGTAAAGACCTGTGAAAGGCAGCTGAGGTTATGGATTTGACACCATTCTCAGCAACCTCGCACACAGACTTCAGGTATGGGTGGTTGTTCTTGGTGTTGACGTACACGTTCGACATCATGTCATAGGTGGAAACAACCAGGGGAAGGTGAACAATTCGGGCAACCACATTCTAGAAAGGAACAAACAGGGATGAAAAAATTCAGTCACATTTCATCTAACAAACATCATATTTACATTTAAAATGAGACATCTTTGCTGCAAAAATCTAAACAAAACTATTTTACAGCTTTTTTTATTAACTTCTGACATGGATCTTAAAAGATTCTGTCTTGCCTCTTTTCATAACATTATTTTGATCGCATCACTAGAAGGGGCTAGAACACATACTGTGATGTATTGTAGTGAAACAGCCCAAGCTTTTAAAAAACTGTTGTAAATGGAAGATGTCCAGGGTTTCTGCAGGTTTCACCACGTCAAATTTATGACTTTTAAAGACCTTTTTAACACCATGAAGAATAAAATTTTAGACTTTTATAGGGCTAAACACGAATAATTGTTTTAATGTCCCAGCAAAATTTTAAAAAAAAAAGTAATTTCTTAGTGACATATTTAAAACAAGCAGACCTTGGTTGTAAACACATTTTTCATTCAACATAACTTAAAAAAACTCTTTAAAAACTAAATGTTTGCACATCAGACTACAGTTATAATAAAATTCATCAGGAGTTTTGCTCAAAGTTTTACTGAAATGTGTTGTTGGTGATTGGATGTGTTTTGGATTGATTGGGTAGCTTTACATAAACAAAGGAAAATTAAGACCTGTTTAAAATTAATTAAGACCAACAAGACAATATTTCAGTGAAATTAAGGTCGTTTTAAATCTTGAATTTTTTTTAATGATTGTTTGAATTTTAGACATTCTGAGACTTTTTAAGACCTTGTGAATACCCTGCTGCCGTTGGTTAATTGTATGCAGGGCCAGATTTAACCAATAAGCAACATACTCCGCCACTAAGGGCCCCAGGAAATCTGAGGGCCCCAAAAAATACCTATAATTATACCTATAAATTATATATAATATCATTTTCTGTCATATTTTGTATGATGAGGGTTTTAAAAATAAATGTTTAATGTTTAATACATCTGCGCAAATGTATCCCCATCTCAACTATGAAGTCAAGCAGTCAAACTAGCTAAAGATTTAGTTTTAAAAACGAAATATTTTATATATGATTTTTAGTTGTGAATTAATTTTAAGAAAACAAATGACTTAAAAAGATTTACAAGATGCTTTACATATTGTTATTATTATTTCGCATTAAGACAAATGCAGAAAGGGAGTGGTTGAGTGATATAAGAAAACAGTAAAATAAACCTAATTAAAATACATTAAAATAGGAAAGGTGCATTTCAGAACTTTTGGGCCCCATGGCTGGAATTGCTTAGGGCCCACAATTCACTGAACCCGTCCCTGAATGTATGTTGTGTTTCTTTTAAAATACAGTCATACAAATATACCAATATAAATATATGTACTGTCATCCTTGCTTTGTCAACCTACCAAATAAACAAAAACCACACAAACATCTTCAATATTACATGACATTAATGAGGATTAAAGTGGCAAACCTGGTTATTTACATCCTCCATAGAACCCATGTTAGCAGAAAATCTGCAAAAGAAAATAGTTCAAGTCGTAAGCAAACTGACATCTCTTTCATTTAAAGCATTAGACAAAACAACACACATAGGTCTATGTTGAGAGAGCTTACAGATAAAAGATAGAAACCGAACAAAAACGCTTTTTTACCTGTTGTGCAGTTTCAAGTACAGAAGAAAGCTCATGAAGTGCTTCTCAGTTGCTGTAATGAGGATTGATCGACTGCTTTAGATTTTATAGGAAGGAGCTGTGGCGATAGACTAAAGATGACGTCACGACGAGCGATGTAGTCCAAAGGTCGGGGATTTCACGCTGAGACCATGAAAATGGCATAAACCGGTGTTTGTGAGGTTCATTTGACGGTTAAGCATTAGTTCTCAAACGTTTATAATACACAATTAAAAACATAACACGGTTTGAGTTTAAGGTGCAGTTTGACAACAGAAACATGTTTTACAAAAACTACGTAACGTTAGCAGCTGACATACTGTAGCAACTTCCGGTTTTATTGACCTAATTATTGTGTAATCTAGGTTGAAGTTCACACATAGTGTCTGTACAGGTGAATTAAGGCGAATATGTTGTATCAGGGCATAACATATAGGTTAAAAGTCATCGGCCATCGTCACAAGGACTTTGTCATTTTGAAAATGTTGTCATCTGTCTGACATCATTGTCATTAACGGATGAGATCACTCTTCTTCAGCACCTAATACCTAGATTTAATACTTGTTGAAATTTACTTCACTGTTGAATCTCTTAAGCTTATTAATAATAATATGAAGAATACGTTACTTAAAGCTTATCATATTATATTTTTTCTTAATGATTGAGACTTTGTAAAGTTTTTTTTCTTTCCTATTTCTTTGTTATTGTATTTTCTCTTCAATGCAGTGATGTTTTTTTTGTTTAATAAAAAAACTCTTCTTCAGCATCTCGAAAATACATGCATAAATGAGAATACACATAAAAAAACTAATCTGAGAGCAAATAACTAAAAGAAGTCCCGTGCTCAGTAAGTTTGTACGGTAAAATAAAAGTTTAAATAAACCATATCTGAATATGTAGGCCTAATGTGTGCCTATAATTCATAGCTGAAACTTCATTAGAATTTTTTAGTGTTCATTTGTATGATCCTTCAGAAATAATTGATTTGCTGCTCTACTATGTATGATAATTTATTATTCACGCTCAGTCATTAGGTTAATAATGGTTCTTATTATTATTAACAAATAATCTGCTTCTCTTATTTTGTAAATACTGTGATATGGTTTGTTTTTTTGGGTACTTTGATGGATACAAAGTACAAAGTAATGGATTTTAATTTTATTTAGTAACATTAATGTCTTTACTGCCACTTTTGTCACTGACATGTCATCTAATTAATGTGTCCCAGAAGAGTATTTATAAAACAACAATTAGTGATTAAAGTAAGTGATTTAAGTAAATAAATGCATAGTTCACCCAAAAAATGTAAATTCTTTCATCTTATATTCTTCCTCCATTTCTTCCAAACTGGTAATATATATAAAACTAATGAGATATTTCGTCACCTTAGAATTATAAGGTTCTATCTGCGTTCTGAATGATTTTAAGATATTGAGCTTCAAAGTTATTGCATTCCATATAGCAAACAACATGTGTGTAACAGATCTCTTTCATACATTAACATGACAGAGACCCTAAGGGTCTAAATGTAAATTATCAAAGTTCTCTTACATTTGCAAATTGGAGTAAATAAACCACGGTAAATGCAGATAGTACCTTCTCATTCTGAAAAGTTATTTTCCAATTGGAGTTATAAGGTTCTATCTGCCAGATCATTCATTGAAGCAATACTTATCAAGAAATAAAATAAAAAATATATAGTTTAGTGTTGTAACAATATGTTAATGCTTGAGAAAGTTAAAATTTTGCTTTCTATAACATTTATTTTATGTTTTAGGATGACATTTTTTTCTTTTAAAATTAAGCAGGCTGTACTAAATATTTTTTTCCAGTGCAGCTGTTAATTTTATCTAATTAATATGTTCATATTTATTAAATTGTATGTTTTAAATAAATTATTGAATTATATTTATTGAATTATATGCTCCATTAAATAAATTAAGGATTTGCCCTTCAAGGCTTAATATTAAACTTATAGACTTTAAAAGAAAAAATGAGCAAATCAGTTTAATAAACACTGAAAAGTTTTTCACTGACTATATACAAAAATAAAAATATTTCACTTTTAATATACAAATTTTTAAATATTAATTTCTTTTTCAACAATGTAAAACTGAGCAATTCATCTCAACATTTGCCTAGCAGTGGCGCAGTGGGTAGCACGATTGTCTCACAGCAAGAAGGTTGCTGGTTTGAGCCTTGGCTGGGTCAGTTGGTGTTTCTGTGTGGAGTTTACATGTTCTCCCAGTGTTTGCGTGGGCTTCCTTTGGGTGCTTTGGTTTCCCCCACAAGTCCAAAGACATGCGGTACAGGTGAATTGGATAAACTAAAATTGGCCATAGTGTATGTGTGTGATTGAGTGTATATGGGTGTTTCCCAGTGTTGGGTTGCAGCTGTAAGGGCATCCGCTGTGTAAAACATATGCTGGATAAGTTGGCGGTTCATTCTGCTGTGGCAACCTCAGATTAATAAAGGGACTAAGTCGAAAAGAAAATGAATGAATTAATCTCAATGTCAAGAAATGCTTCTAAATCATCACATTTACACACATTTTAATTTTGTGTGGTGCGGCATTCTTTAATTGACTCTAATTTTGTGTGATTTTGTTCTTCTGGTGTTTCCCGCTGTCAATGGCGCAGTCCAGTGAAATGAGAAAGCTGATCTTGATTGGTCCTCATGCGTGCATTAAAAATGCTGATTGGCTCACAGATAGAACCTTATAGAGCCAAGCTAGAGTTCAACTTTGTAGATACACCTTTTTTGTTTTTTAAATAAAAAGCCTTAAAATGTAAACAACTTATAAAAACACATCCCAAAATGTAAATAAGTTGCCATTTAAAAAGAATTTGTGAATAACTCAATTTTGACAAAAATGTCAGATAAAACCTTATAATTCCAAGGTGACGATTTTAAAGAATGTTGAAAAATCTTGTTTTGTGTGCAACACAAGACAGAAATGCATACAAATTTAGAACTTCTTGAGTGTGAGAAAATAACGGGGATTTTGATTTTAACTTGATGGGTTTTTTATGCTTCACATCATAGAAAATAATTTTTCTTTTATAAAACTTTTTAGGTTCTTTAGGTAAACCAAAAACACCCTCGAAACTTTTATTTTTCTATAGCTTGCATAAGAAGGTCTTTTTTTTTCTTTTTAAATCAAACAAAAAGTGCTCAGGGGTAGCTTAATTAATGTGTCTGTGCTCTTTGAGTAAGGGTATTCATCAGAATAAACAGCAAAAGTAAGTCAAAGGCACTCAAAAATGTAGAAATATTATTAAAAAGCCTTTATTGACATGGATATTTTATAATATTTTTTGCAATTTCAAAAAAGGCTTTTTATTATTTTTCCACATTTTTAGAGTGCAGTTGACTTACTTTTGTGGGCTATATTTTTGTTTTTACACTTCAGCACAGTTTATAAATGCTGCAAAGTGCAAACACATAAAAAACAGATGAAATGTTTAAATGTCTGTCGTGTAAGTGTAGTGACGTTGTATAACCACTAGATGTAGCTACAGTAAAACAAGTCCGCTGCTTGCTACATTGTTTTGTTTTACGAATATCCCACTTTGAACAAACAATAACTTGAATTGTTGAATCAATAGATGCAGATGAAAACTTAGTTTAAAACCACAGAACATTTTCTGAATTTACTGAAATTCATGACTAAAGTTATGCCCTGTAATTAACAGCCACCCAAGTTTTTATTCATATTTTAAGATAAAGTTATGATTAAAGTATTATCATGATTTATGTATTACATTCTTACATTTATGAGATTATATTACATTTAGAAAAAAAATTTCTGTTTATAAAATATCTAAATTCTGCAGTATACTGACCTTTTTATTAAGCTGTTAGAGTGTGTTTGTTAGACGTATATGCAGGCAAAGTATTTGCTGCATGCAACACATGCACCGTGCAAGTGCCACACGTCAAATTGTGTCAAGACATGTTCACCTTTAGAGCTTATATTTGGTCTGTGGGGTAAACCAGAGCACTCAGAGAAAACCCACATGAACACGGGGAGAACATGCAAACTCCACACAGAAATGCCATCTGGCCCAGCTAGGACTCAAATCAGCACCCTTCTTGCTTTGAGGCGACAGTGCTAACCACTGATCCACCATGCCATTATTTGTATTTAACTTTATAGTTGCATATTAATAATATAAATATTAATACATTTATTTTATTTTATAATATGTTGTATTAAAAACGCAATAAACCATGTAAAGTCGTTGGTGAATTTAGAATTTAAAATGTTGTAAATTCCCTGCAAACCATGCCTTCTGGCGGCTTAGTGCTTTATTCATCCTGTTGAATATTAATTCAAAAAGCAATATGTTAACTTTATTGAAGCATTGCAAAAGAAAATTGTTTTTTTTTTCTAACTCATATATCAAAGCAAGCACACAGTGAGGATATTGAGGGTTACGGGGCTGACATTATGGTGTTGTTGACTGTGGTTTGCATCTTGTGCTGACAGCAGAGAAGATAATGATCAGTCAGGGCACAGACCAAAATGACTTCACACCGTCATTCTACTGAATCATTAAAACAAAACTCTGACTCTGCCATCTGATAGAATTTGCTTTGCAGGGAAATTGAATCTGGCCTCTGCCCATCAGAGAGAGAACAAAGATAGAGACTGCAGATGCCTACGCTATCTAATATAGTTATGCAAGCGGAGTCAGCAGACAATACAAGTTTGACAGTCACATGTGTTGATAAAGTAATAATGAGATTTACTGGTGCAGTGAACAAATGAGAAAAGAGAGAAATCAAGTACAAATTGTTGGCATCTGTGTGGAGTTTGCATGTTCTCCCTGCGTTTGCATGGGTGCTCCGCATTATAATCTTGTAACTCAACAGAAATAATGTACAGTACAGAATATAAAGTCATGGTGCCTTGAAAAAATAATTAATATAGTGTATGACTCCCATGAGCTTGGAGGACTACACCCATACATCTCTGCAATGAATCGAATAACTTATTAATAAAGTCATCTGGAATGGCAAAGAAAGCGTTCTTGCAGGACTCCCAGAGTTCATCAAGATTCTTTGGATTCATCCTCAATGCCTTCTCCTTCATCTTACTTACCCCAGACATGCTCAATAATGTTACGATTTATTAATTTTACGAATGTTAATGCTCAAAAATATACAATTTATTTGTGTGTGTGTATATTTCTATATATATATATATATATATATATATATATATATATATATATATATATATATATATATATATAGATTAATCGTATTTTTATGATGAATCATCTGCATCAACTGCATCACAATCATCACAAATACTGCATAAGACCTGTTTAAGCCCACATCTATCCAAGATTCTCAAAGAAATCAGTCAAGTTTGGTGAAGGAAAGATCATGGTTTGAGGTTACATAGCCGCATACGAGAGATCTGCAGAGTGGATGGCAACATCAGCAGCCTGAGTTATCAAGACATTTGTGCTGCCCATTACATTTCAAACCACAGGAGAGGGCAAATTCTTCAGCCTATTTATACACACACACATATTATTATTTGCATATTCGTCATGTATTTACATTTTTTAAAGTTGGTGTTGTTTCAATATGATCTCAGACTCAACAATTTTGTAAAAAATCTTAATTAATATTATTTTATATTACATATTATTACACTTAGGCCTACATATTGTTGCAATGTGTATGTGTATGTGGTTTTTGTTTTTTGCTGTTTCAATAGAAAAATTGATAATGAAAGCAGGCCTATTAAAAATCAAACTGGCAAATATGTGTGGAAAACACATCTACTAATTGATCAATTATGGAACTACGTAACATTGTGGAAATAGAAACTGTAAATGCGAATTAAATTGTTATTGTAGATGCTTTTTATATGTTATCTATACAGTTACTGTAATTATTTGTATATAGGCCTATGTTTGGTTGTTTCACTATGAACAAAAATGTTGTACAAAAAACCCTATATCTAACTGTTTATTCTTTTATTTTTCGTTGTAGAAAATCACGGGGAAAAACATAGAACCCGGAAAATACAGACTTTGTTTAAGCGTCAAGATAACTGTTTTTCAGGGCGGGAGCTGATGATTTTTCTCCAGTCGGTGTGTGTCAGCGCTGGGCGGAGCCTGTGACAGCCGCCGCCGCTATAGTCTGCTGGAGTGGATGTGTATACCGTCGCTCGCGCGCACTGACGCGCTGTTTTCTCTTGCAGATCTGTGATTGCGCGCACAGACGCGTGTTTTGCGCGCTCGCGAGCGGACAGCGGAATAGCGCTGGAATGATATCTATGGGCGGTGGACGAGGAAAATGACCTTTTGTGATAACGACGAGGACTTGAGGTTTTCGTGCTCAACGCTAGAGTCAACACACTATTTATGTTGATTTAGGAAGTCTTGGTCGCTCGCGCAGCTTGGACTTTTCTTTCCAGAAATGGACCGCGTCAAGAGTTCAATGCAGCAAGTCCCAAACCCGATCCCCAAAGTGCTCAGCCGTCGCGCTGGCGGTGCCAACAGTTTGGAAGTTGAAAAGGAAAACTTCGAGCGCAATCAGGTGAGGAACAGTAAACACAACCGGACAAGTTTTTTCATGTAGTCAGTGCATCGCCAGCGAGCTGTTTATATGGCAAGCCAAATTAACATATATTCATTTAAAATAACCACTATCAGTTTTAGCTTTAGCAAGTAGTAAAGCATCCATTCTGACAGCTTTTAGATACTACCATGTGTTCCTTCTCTGCATCCGTTACCGTCTTGGTTTGAACTGGTCAGAGCTTTATTCTTCAATTAAAATATTATTATTGTTAGTGTTTTTTTTTTGTTCTTTTTGTTTTTACTAATAAACTAAAATAAAGCTATTGTAATGTTATTTTATTGCTAGCAGTTCAAGTAATGCTAAGTAATGAATTGTCTTCCAGAAACTGCTAGTCGAAAGAGAATTAATTATTAATTAAAATGTTTTTATTTGTTTATTTTACATGTGCTATTTATTATTATTATATATATATATATATATATATATATATATATATATATATATATATATATATATATAACTATTAACTATACAGGTAGTGTAGTCAATGCTAACTGGATTGAACACACTGTCAAAACAGTAAAAACAAAAATAATTTAAGAAACATGAGAAGTGTTTCATTTCATTCAATGCATTTGCAGTTACTTTGTAGTTGCTTGTGCAATTTCTCAGTGAAAATAGTTATTAAGTTAAAGAACCTTTTACACTACGCCATTTTCAGCTGAAAATTGATAACCTTAAGTTTTTTTTGGTTCATTAACACGACAGCTGTGATTTGTGGGCCTGAGAATAAAAAAATGTATTAAAAAGAACGTCATCAACTACAAAAACATGATTTGTGGAAAAATGGTGATAACACACATATGCACATTGTTCACTCTAAAATCATGTGTGATTAATTGACAATAGAGTTTTCAGTAACCTGGATGAACCACTTCCGGTGAACTGTATGCAGATATAAAATCAGCATATTTAAGGTCTATTTTCTTTAAAAATCAACGATTTTCACTGCCTGATTGATATACAATATAAAGTGGGTGTCCAAATTTACAAGACGCACTGCATTAAATGATGTTTTCCCCTGTAATGTCTTTAAAATATGAAAATACATTCCACATTATTACTTTTTCAATGAAGCTAAACTTGACAGTAGTATATTTAACTGATTAGATTTTAATTGCATTACAACATTAATGCTGTAAAAGGAACCGTATAAAAATTTTAAAAAAGACACAATAACTGCTCACCGAAAGTTTATCGATGTGGGAAGAAACACTAGCTGTGCATATACCCTATAAAAACAACAATGTCTGAAAACAGGGCCATAAAAGTGCAGGTGCATGGGTGTCTTTAGAAAGTGACATCACCACCTACTGGCCTGGAGTATGTTTCACAGTTCAGTGTGAACAGGGATCCTTTTGACAGCATTGTTGTCTAATCATGAAGCTTTGCAAACACATGCATGAATTGCTTTCAAATAAATACTACTGGAAATAGAAAAGCCTCTAAATTTTCACTGTTGAATTACTATTAATCAAAAGCAAGTATTGTAATATAAAAGGACGTATTAAAGAAATACATGTTAAACAGCTTGCCATATCTGACAGCAATAAGACATGGCTGTGAGCTAAAACAAAGTGCATGATGATACAAATCAAACGGTCAGAAATTGCAATATTTTGTATTTAACCCATCATTAAAATCAATCTAGCCTTCATTATCATTCTGTCTGATGTGACATGCTGTTGTATAGTGTATTATAGGGCTTACTAGTTAGCGTGTGGTTTGTCCAAACCATAAAATGAATGTTTATTTGCAATATACAAGCGTCATAATGATAACTGATGACCTTTTAAATTCAGCTAAAGTTCAGTGCACTTTTGATCACGTCGCACCTTCAATTTTATCAGTGTCATTGATTAAGAACGAGAACAAAGTTCTTCCTGCTGCTCTCTCTTTATTATAGGTTAATATTCGCTCCGTAATGCCTTACGTTATGGAATTTCTATGCATTATAAGAGTGCAACTGACTCCTTAATATAGGAACATCCTCTGTGACAGCGTCTTGTGTTTCCAAGCTGATGCCCATGAATCGAGCAAGCCTAAAAGCTTTTAGTGACTCAGAGATGCAGTGGGCAGAGCCCTGATGGTCATGCATTCTGGTCCGTGCCATCAGCCTATAATGTATCTCCGTGCATCTTCAGTCTTTTAGATCTTGTTGACCGTAATGCACAGCCATTGAATTATGCAGTCAGGTTCTGGGTGCTGGAACCTGAAAGTGTGTTGTGAAGTATAAAGAAATGCGTTCTCATTGTTTGCGCACTCTTCTTCTCTCCTCTACGGGGGTCTCAACCCCCCCCCCCCCTCTCCCATCCAGACACAGGCATCAGGAAAAGTAGGTCAGATGAATGAAGCTGCCGCCGACTGCCCTACTGCTGGGTTTGGGAGTGTTTGAAAACAGCACGACCTCCTTCTTGCCCACATTTCTTCAGACGTTTTTTTGTTTTTTTTTGCAGCGAGCAAATGCGTGCAATCTGCAGTGTCATGTTCGGCTCGATCTGCACAATTCAGTCCTGTTGTTTACAAGTAGGACAGTGACATGGATTAGCGAGGCTCGTGTGGCGCATGCGCTCTTGAATTCCTTTAGGACCCATCACTGGGTCAGACTCAGATATCTGAGAGGGTTTAGTTGCACATTTCCTGTTTTTAGAATTGATTTCATGTCATTTAGCCAAAAGAGGCTTTACCCATAACATCTGAAAGAACCAAAAACACCATTCAGACTGCACACACTGATCAGGTCGCAGAAGGAAATGCTATTGTGAGCGGTCCTTATCAGTTAGTTTGCCTGAAGGAAGTCTGATCCCATAATATCCCGTCGCTTTTCTGCCCCTGGAGGGCTATGTTTAGATTAATGGGCCTTCTGTGGTGTGAGTTCAGGCTGTTTTAAATGGGAGGATGTTCGTGTGGTGCTCTATAATGACATGAGCATGGTTTGCTTTGTGGCTGGGTGTTAGAAGACTAGCGTCTACTTGACTTGGGTTTTATATGGAGGAAATCTATGCAGGGAAACCTTTGTTGTGGTCAGAGTCTCGCTGAGGAACATCCGGCCAGCCTCGAATTCCACGTGGTTGAAATAACAAGTTAAGAGAGCGTTTGTCGAAAATAAGGCGTAGTGGTAAACATCCTGCAGGACGTTTGAAACCGGGCAAAGTTCAAGATTAAGTCCGGATGAAATTACAGTTTGACTTTTGTTCTCTGGTTGATGTTTTTCAAAGTAAAGTTAATAGTCAGAGTCTGATTTCCTCCGAAATGACATTGTGATGTCACTTACTCTACGCATGCATGCTATTGGATGTTGTTAACCTACAGCCAGAGGGTTGTTTATCTGTTGTTCTAGCTAACTTGAATTGATTTCCTCCAAAGCAACATTGCATTTTTGGTGATCTCACTATAGGCCATGCATGCTATTAGATAGGGCTGCCGGATAAACGATATTATATCGAATCGTGATAACATTTATGTCAATAACAATAAGCTCTGGACTTTTTTTTTTTACTTATATTGAGTAATGAGTAAGAGCCAATCACACTGCAAAATCGTGCAACAATAGGAATCTAAAATTGTGTTGATATGAGAGATGTATTGAATTCTTGGCCACAAACAATTTATCAGTCAAGTTTATGTTATGCCATTTAATGGACCCTCTATTTTTTGTGGCTTCAGTCATTGTTGGAGTACTCTTTTAAACCTGGAAGCATTAACAAATTGTATCGAAATGTATCTCGTTAATGTTCAATATGGAAAGTAATTAATCCAGATTTCATTTTTGTCTTATTGCCCAGCGCTAATATTGGATATTGTTCATTTATAGGCAAAGAGCTGTTAATGTGCTGTGCATTCAGGTCTGAATTTCTGAAACCCACATTTTTTTGTACAAATAAATAACTTTCTTTATATATATATATATATATATATATATATATACAGTTGAAGTCAGAATTATTAGCCCCCCTGAATTAATATCATCCCTGTTTTTTTCCCCCCTAATTTCTGTTTAATGGAGGGAAGATTGTTTTAGCACATTTCTAATCATATTAGTTAAAAACCTATTTCTAATAACTGATTTATTTTATCTTTGCTATGATGACAGTAAATAATATTTTACTTGATATTTTTCAGGACACATTTATACAGCTTAAAGTGACATTTAAAGGCTTAACTAGGTTAATAAGGTGAACTAGGCAGGTTAGGGTAATTAGGCAAGTTATTGTATAACGATGGTTTATTCTGTAGACTATTGAAAAAAAATAGCTTAAAGGGGCTAATAATTTTGCCCCAAAAATGTTTTTTTTTTTTAATTAAAAACTGCTTTTATTCTAGCCGAAATAAAAAATATAAGACTTTCTCCTGAAGAAAAAATATTATCAGACATACTGTGAAAATTTCCTTGCTCTGTTAAAAACCATTTGGGAAATATTTAAAAAAAGAAGAAAAAAATGCAGTAAAAACTCAAAACATAAATTCAGTCAAAAAGTAACTTTATTGAATCTTTTGTTTATATTTTCCAGAAAAACTGACCACAGAATTTTGAGATCAGAAAAATATTTATCTGTAAACAAATGTTATACTTTAAATGAGGGAAATAAAAATGCGTCATAGATGTGACAAAAGAAGTCTGCAGGTTTACAGTATACAACATACTTTGTAGAAATTCTGTGAATTAAACTGCACAACCCAAAAGAAACAACGGTAATCAAAAGGATAAGAGTTGGCTCTCTATATAACAAAAAATATTGGTTTTATTTAATTTCATATTTTCATATTTATGAGGAAAAAGTGTCATTATGGATGTGACATCTCTTAGTTATGGATGTGAGAGATGTAATATTGCCACTTGTGGGACTTTGGTAAATCAAATAGAATAGTTAGAAACCATTGACAGATGCATTTTTAAGTATTTCTAAAGTACTGTAAAATACTTGCTCACACAAATAATCCAGAAATGGTTTCCGTAT